GCCAGACTGAGCACTTCAAAGTCTCGGCCAGACCGAGCACTTCAAAAGCCTCAGCCAGACTGAGCACTTCAAAGTCTCGGCCAGACCGAGCACTTCAAAAGCCTCAGCCAGACTGAGCACTTCAAAGTCTCGGCCAGACCGAGCACTTCAAAAGCCTCAGCCAGACTGAGCACTTCAAAGTCTCGGCCAGACCGAGCACTTCAAAAGCCTCAGCCAGACTGAGCACTTCAAAGTCTCGGCCAGACCGAGCACTTCAAAAGCCTCAGCCAGACTGAGCACTTCAAAGTCTCGGCCAGACCGAGCACTTCAAAAGCCTCAGCCAGACTGAGCACTTCAAAGTCTCGGCCAGACCGAGCACTTCAAAAGCCTCAGCCTGACTCTGCGCTTCAAAGCTAAGCAGAACCACATTTTTAACACTTAGTCACATTTTGAAGTTTCTTCATAATTCCAGGACCACCTTTTTACCTAGCTAAATTCCAATCATGTATTTCATTTACTAATCAGATTATTTGCCGCCTCACCCAGTTTACAATTAACTGTTTAGTTACAATTTGCAATTAAATGTTTATTCTTCATCTGTGCTTAATATTATGCTCTACAATTTGCTACTCCAATTGTTCAATCAAACACTATCATCCTTTCAATTTTCATACAACTCCAATCACACTTCGCAGAGAGGAATCTTTAACTTTAATTTTACACGATATCTTTATTGACCCAATCTCTATGACCAGTTTTTATAACAACACTTCATTTATTCTGGCAACATAAACAAAATAAACAAAATTCAACTGACAACATAAACGAAGTAACCTTTGTACACAAATTCAATACAAATAAATTCTTCATACATTTATTCATGCACTCATTCCTTTACATTGTGTTCACAAGTACATTACAAAAAAAAAAAAAAACACACACACACAGACACAGAGCACGCCCAGTTCTTCTTCTCCCTAGCTACTCCTCCTCACTAGACGCCAGATCTTCTTCTTCAATGCCTTCGTCCAGGGGGGTCTGGGCCACATCATCTTCCCCTATTGTCACACTACTAAGGTCCAAGTGTGGGAACAACTCTTCAGCTTTGCGCTTGAACATCTTCCAACCGCGGTCCCAGAACTCGGCCATTTCGTGCTTGTAGAAGTCTGACTGCTGGAAGCTTTCAATCACCTCTGCCTCTGTCCTACCTCCAGCAGTCTTCCTTGATGGACCCACCCCCCAGACTCTTGCCCAGCCAGACTCTTGGCGACAGCGGCATCTACCACCAGCTGAAATTCAGGGGACCCTTCATATTGCTCCACTGCTGCGACGCACTGATCAGGGTAGGCCGCCCTCTCAGACACCGCCTTCGCCCTCTCCTCGTCCAGCTCCCGTTGTAGGGCCCCCCTTTCAACGGCCGCCGTCGCCCTCTCCTCTTCCGCCCCCCTCTTCAGACTCTCCAGCTCCGCCACTGCCTTCGCCTTCTCTATTTCCCACTCCCTCAGAAGCCTCCCCTTCTCCTCCTCTGCTCTGGCACGCTCCTCCCCCAACTCCTTCAACAGATCCCCAATTCTGGAATCTGCTTCATCCTTTTGCCTGACCAGCTCTTCATTGCTGGTCATGGCCTCTTCATGCTGCTCGACCGCCACGGCGTAGGCCCTTTCAGACTCTTCCAACTTTTTCTATTCACCAGCCAGTTGGAACTCGAGCGACATGACCTTACGGCGTGTGTCCTCCAGCTCCAACTTGACTGCTGGCAGATCGGCATGGGCAGTCTTCCAGTCGGCACTGTCCTTCTTCAATTTGGCCAACTGGGCCTTGGCCTCCTCAGCCTTCAACTTGGCAGCCCCTGCCTTCCTAAGGAGGGCCCCTGCCAAGGTAGTTACCTCCATTTGGGCGGAGCATAACCCCCTCAGCAGGTCAGCCTCATTATATCCTGAGGCCGCGCGCAGAGCTGTCTCTTCCACAATCTTCACCAGGCGGTCTGTCCCCGCCCTGGCTGGGCCTTCTTCTCCCTCCAACCTTCCAGCTATCGCGCGCGCGTGATAGATCCCCGTCGCCAGACGAACCCCTCCTTCCTTGGGGTCAGGCCCCTTCTGGACCTGTTCCCTTTCACCCGGCCAGCCTCACGGTCAGCTTCTCCCGTTCAGTCACCCTTGCGATCGGCACGGCTTCCAGTCGGCCTCTCCACTCGGTTCGAACTTCCCTTCCTTGTTACTATTCCCTTCATTGGACTAAAACTGCACTCAGAAATGGGGGACTACTGACATGGATGGGCCCACAAGGCATACGGCCCACAACAAACCACCCCAAACCCATCGCTTGGGACTAATAGCATAACCCGGTTGACAAAGCCCAGGACAGCTGGAGGCCATCTAGACATGGAGGGCCAATGGCATTCGGGCACATGGCAGGTGGAACACAGGCCACATCAGCAGACAAAGATCTGCAGAGTTATTACCACAACACATCATCATTAATGCAGCCCGTCATAGCATTTATTACGACAACACCTCCCCGTCGGAACAGAGCCCCCTCACCCTGAACAAGGTAAGCTACGGCACAGGCTTTCGGCGGAAGGGGGCACGTCACAAGGGGCAGTGAAATGATTACCAAAGGATATAAGCAAGGATACAAGACAAGAGGAAGGTTGGACTTTTATCTCTCTCTCTCTCTCTCTCTACATTTTTTTTGTCGACTACTGATTATCTCGCCAGAGGGTTCACTGGGGGACTGCCCCGTTCCCCTTTGGACTTGCTTGCAGGTCACTTGGCGGAAACATCATCCTGAACCGGAACTTGAAGAGCTTAGACCAGCTCGACCCATCCACCCGAGACGGACAGCATTATCATAACTCTAAAAGAAAATGAGAATAAAGAAATAATTTATTTTAGACAAAATTGTTAAGAAATTTTTTTTTTTAAATTAAGGTTTGTCTCATTACATTAAGAAAAAATTGTTAAGAAAATGAGAATACGGTTTCTATCATTGATTACCGTTAATTAAAGAAGAAATTATCTGGTCAATGAAATCAGGGACTTCCTTTTTCTAACTTTGTATAGAATAATTTCAAGAATTACTGTACAGAAGTTGAAGATAAACAGGGCAAATCCCAAAAATGCTACCAAGAATGAAAGAATGAGGAATATTTAGTAATTGTTCCCAAAAATTTTAGATTTGTCAAGAAAACCAAAAGTAATTTCCATCAGTAATTGTCCAAAACTAATTTCCATCAGTAATCGTCCATCAGGAATCGTTTTTGGCGTCATTTCCATCGCACAACAGTGCGTTTCCCATATGCCAAACAAAAAATAACATATGCACATACAAAAATTTGGAGAAAAATTTTGAATCACCCAGAACAATGGCTTTCAGAGATAAACCCACTAGATCGGGTTGAAGGAGATTGTATTACGAACAAAAAAAATAAATAAATAAAATAAAAATAAAAACCAGTACCTGATGACTGGTGGTGTCCAGGAGCTAAGTTGCAGTGTCCCCGTAGATGTGCACTCTAGTGGTGTTGGGCTATGGCAAGCTTCGCTATTCTTCTTCATCATTCAGCATCGTCGATTTGCCTTCGTCGCTTCTGCATTTGTCGGTGCCCTAAGTGAGAAAAGTGTTGTGTGTGGTTTGAATTGGTGTTGGTGTGAAACAGTTTGGCCTAAGGGTAGTTTAGTAAATTCACCCTGCGCTGTGTTGTTTGTAAGCACGTGAATGTGTTTTGTCTGGTAGTGGCTAATTTAGCATATTTTGGACGAATATGGCCAATTTAGCCCAAAACTAGATTGCCAAATTGAGGCTTAATCTTTTTAAATTTTTATCAAATTTAAATTAAATAAAAAAATATTTTCCCATAATTTTGAATTTCAGTAAGAAAAAAAGAAGAGGGAATTTTTTTTAGGGTCCTAGGCATTAAGATTTTATAGCATAAATGACATTCAATATTTTTATAATATCTAAGGTCCCTCAATATCGATCAAGAGAAAATTCGATCAAGAGAATTTCTCTAAACTTCCCATAGAATTTAGAAATTCTAGAAAGACTAAAGAATTTTTCTGGATTCCAGTCTAGAGATTTTCTCTAGATTTTCAGAGAATTTCTTTGGTTTTTGCAAGAATTTCTCTGGATTCAAACTAGAGAAAATTAAATATGCCAGAGAAAATTACACACACAAGCGTGTTAAGTGGCAGTTCTCTCTTCTCTTCCAATTTCATTTCTCATCTTTCCCAAATTCTCTAGTTTGCTCATAATTTTCTATGTGTTTTGATCAAACCAAAGAAGAGTGTGTTTTGACTAGGTATGTAAGAAAAATTGATAAAACTGAGCCGACTAATCGAAATCGATCAAAATTTAAAATTTTGGTCTGTTTTTCATAACATACGGTCTATTTCAGATTTGAAACTTTTGTACTGATGCAAACCAAACCGACCGAATATTATATTTAAATATTTTTATATTATATTTTCTTGAACATTATATGATAAGTAACTAATATAATACACTTTTGTCATAAAAATTAGGGAGAAAAACAGTTATAGGGAAATTTTTATATATTTTCTTCATTTATTTTCAATGAAAAATTCTATAATCTACTATAAAACCTTTTAAAATTTCATGAAATTTCTCTTCTACATCAAACCTACAAAACTGATAAAACTAAACCGTAGCATACGATCTGTATCGATTTCTTGATCATAAAAACTGAAAGGATCGGTTCAGTGCTAAATATATTCTCAATACCGGCCGAACCGAACCGTTTACATCCCTAGTTTTGACTCAACCATAGTAAAAATTGATAAAAAAGCCAACACAAACCAATTTTAACACATAGAAAATTGTGTTGCACCAATACTGTAACTCTTGTTTGTTACAGTGATTCGTCAAAAATCAAAATTGTTGCTGAAATCAATGAGTCACTTTAAACAAACTTCATATAAATTCATGGCACCGAACCACTCATCAATTACCCAACATTGTTGTACTTTTAGTGATCAAGTCAGTTTTGTAGCTAGGAAAATTCAACGTAGCATTAAAGCCATACAAGACTCTTGCAGCCTTATCATAAGAATAGATTTGAAATAAATAGCTATATCTAATGGCTTTAATTTTTATTTTTTATAGAAGGTATCCTTAGAGCTGTTCTTCAAGGGCTTTGCTCCGATAAGCCACTGTTCGGCAAGGAATTCGACAATAAGCCACTATTCTTACCTTTCCCCTTTTTCATCCTTCACGGCAAATCACCTACGATTATCCAATACTCCTCCGGTCGCAAAAAAACTGTATAATCCTCGACAAGCTCCACTTCTGACCGCCGCCATTGACCACCGCACAACAACCTACCTCTACCAATAGCAAGGTTAGGGCTTTACTCTTTTGTCTTCAAAATTCTTCTTTTATTTTGCTTCGTACATCCAATTTTGGTACCATACTTACTACAATTATATCTCTCTCTGTGTATATATACATCAAGTCACTAATTGCGTCTATGTTGCTCAATTTTGTTTACTTTGGGCCATGTTTGGTAATGTTCGTTTTGTTTTTTGAGTTTTCAGAAACAAAAACATTGGAAGGTTTAAAAATACCCATAGTTTCATATCATTTTTGTTTTTGTGCAAAACCAGTTTTCGAAAAGGGCTTCAACTTTCATTATTATTATTATTATTATTATTATTATTATTATTATTTTAGTGAAGGTATCCCATGAGCTATAGTTGTAACTTTTTTTTTTTTTTTTCAATTGTTGTTCAATCTGCTTTTAGTTTACGATGTTTTTTTTAAAAGCAAGGCCAGTAAGCTTGTGTGAGTTGAGATATAGAGAAATGGGTTCCAAAGCTCTCTTCTTCTTTTCAATCTTATCCTTCTCAATGTTGTTTCTCTCAATCTCAACCTAGCTTTTGCAGAAAATGAGGAAAGTGAAGAACAAGTTGGCCTAGTTATGAACTTCTACAATACATGTTCTCATGTTGAAGAAGAGATCAAAGAGCAAGTCAGGCTTCTCTACAAACGCCATAAGAACACTGTATTCTGTTTTTAAATGAGTATATGTTCTTATCATTTTGGATTAAAATGTAATTTATCTAATTTAATCTTAACATTAAGAAACTTAAATGGATTTAGTTTTTTAAAAGGTTTTGGGTTTTATCCAATAAATGAGTAAATGAGTATATATGTTTCTGGATCTTCATAAAATGGGTTTTATTGAATTTTTTTTAAAATTTGATTTGTGATATGATTTTCATTTATGAAATGAGTTTGATTCTTTAATGGGAAATGCGTGTTGATTTTTAAAATGAGCATTGATTTCCTATGATTTAACAAAATCAAATCATGAATTTCAGAGAAAATAGAGTGAAGAAAAAAAAAATCTATTTAACGAAAGAAGGAACCAAGGAAATAAAGGGTTTGGAGAGAGAGAATAGTTAGAGATGGTAGAGGGAGAGATAATAGGTAGTGGGACAGAGAGGAGAGAATAGAGATGATAGGTAGAGAGAGATTGAGTGGGGAAGATGGACAGAGAGAATGAGTAGGAGACCGTAAATGGAGAGAGTCAAAAAGAAAGAGTAAGTGGGCAGATGTAAAGAGTCCTACAGAATTGTGATTCATTTATCTCTCTTCTTAATATATGTGATTTATTTATCTCTCTTCTTCTTGATATATGAGACAGATTAAATAATTGAGAACATATGTAATTTGGAACATTTTTTAATTATTTTCTCTCAAAAAAATAATAATAAAGTCAAACGAAATTATTTTAATTTTTAATTATTTTAATAGATTAAAATGATTATATTTAGAAGATAATTAATTTAAATGAAAATGATTATGAATTTGATCTAAATAAGTCTGACTCAATAATTTTAATTTGAGTGCTATCTGTCAAAAGCCTTAACATTAGCACATTTCTTAAATAGATTAAAAATCAAAAAATATAGTTTGGAGGCAAAGGGCATTGCATTTGTTTTGGGATGTTTAAAATCTAATTTTTTGATTTTTTTGTATTTTTTTGAAAAAATGTGTAAAAAATGTGAGAGGTGATGTGACTTAAAATAAATTAAAAACTGGAAGATGACTTTTAATTATCTTTTCAAAATAGTCTTTTGTGTGCTAGCTGGTATTGAGTTTAAAAAATGTTTGTGAAAATCTTAATTTTTTGATTTATTTTGTCTTTTTTTGAAAAAATATGTAAAAAAATGTGAGAGATGATGTGGCTTAAAATAAATTAAAAGCTGAAAGATGACTTTAATCATCTTTCCAAAATACCCCTTTTGTGTGCTGATTGGTACTAGGTTTAAAAAATGTTTGTGGCAATCTTTTTTATACCTGTGCTGAATATTGATAGAAATTTTTTGATACATGTGATAATAACGGCTGGAAATTTTTTTTAGTTTACAAATTTTTTAACCTATTTTGAGAAATGAGTTAAAATTCACTTTTTAATTTTTAACTTATTTTAGATCATATTATTTCTCATAGTTTTTACACGTTTTTTAAAAAAATCAAAAAAATTAAAAAATCAACTTTTATTTTATATATATACATCTACCAGTACACGCATCTATTCACCATGCACACACAAAAGTAGTTTCGTCCCACGCCGACCACTCGGGTGTGGCACACCCGAAAACTAAATATGTTTTGAATTTTAAATTTGTAAAATTTATTTCCAAATGTACAATCAAATTGGCTTCGTTTTACGTTATAAGTTGGGATTAAAATGATTACAAAATAACAAGATAGACTAAAAATTAATAATATAAAATATCACATTCAAATTATAATTATTTTTAATTTTTCTCTCACAAAAATAAAAAAAATCAAAAAATTCATCTCAAATGATATTTTTTAGTCTTAAAATAGCTAAAAACTCAATTCACTTCCCAAACGAAATCAAAATTTCAAGTTTGACAAACTCTTTTAAAAAATATAATTATAAACTTCATTTAAAAATTCAAACCAAATAGACCATCTATTAATATTTTTTGACCACAAATTTTTTATTTTTTATTTTGGCAACAAGTTAGTTAAATTACATTTAATTTTATTTTAATCTCAAATTTATTTTGAAGGCACGAACATACACTAATATATACATATTGCAAAGACCTCTTCGTTGAGCTTGAAGGTCCGTCGGGAAGAGATTGAATGAACCAAGATGACATTGAAGAACTCTTAGACAGGTTTGGAACCATGATTGTCGGCCATGAGTGTGAAACTCCAAGCTGATCTTGCCTAGGGTTTTCATTGAAGAGAAGCTTCCATTAGAGAGAGATTGTGATAGTCGTGATCTAGGTTTGGTGCATCTGGCTATGAAGAGAGAATAGAAAGAGCGAGAGAGAGAAAGAGTGAGGATGATGATGAAGAGAGAGAGAGTGGGTTTAGAAGAAATGAGAGAAACACACTACCTATTACGGGTGAGGAAGCTTAGGCTTAAAAAAATATTATCGACCTCTTTCATTATCAAATGGTAGAGAGAAATATTAGACTGATAATCCCTGAAAAAAAAAATAAATATTTTTTTAAAGCATAAAAAGGTGATTTTTTTTTGAAGCTAGAATTTAATTGCTGATAAGAAAATCCTTCATAATGAGAGTCTACGCCAATGGTTTGTTTTTTTTTTTTTTTTAATGAGATTTCGCAAAGAAATATTACTTAAAAGTTGAGATTTGATGAAGCTGTAATTTCTCGAAATTAAAGGGTCATGTTATTGATTCGGGATATATTAGATTTGCAATGGACATTGCTAGCTGGGTGCTCCATCCTACTCCAATAAGCATAATATAAACACTACATTAAAAAATAGTCCAACATGTAAATATATACTCAACATTGATGTTAACCATGCTACCAAAAAAATGTTGGTTCAGATTAAGAATCATAAAAAAATCAGTTTTGATAAATAAAACGGCCCTAGCAACATATTCATCTCAATTACATTCACAATCTCAAACTCATCAGAAAATATAAAGAGAATTGCAATGTACAGTGGTTTTACAAGACCCTCTGAGACAACATAAACTGGGGGAGAATCCCTTAATTCTCCACCCTCTTACCTTCTGGAATACTTGTAATGTAGAGCCGAGATCGAATGAATCGGCCCATCAAATTCAATACTTATGCTGAGACTAATAAAAGTCATCTCATCAAGCTGTAGTTTTGTTGTTCAAATCCCATGATCAATTCATCGACAGGAACTATAGTCTTGAAAAGTCATGAGGCCCGCCTTACATTTCACAACCAGAGAAACTTCAGCTGGAAAATCTCAAACTTGAGGTTGTATTCTAGGTAGTTTTAACTTTGAATAACTTGTATATGCAAGCAACAACAAACACTGGTGACTTTTATGTAAATTAGCTGTTGCCCTCGTACCTCAACTCCATTACCCCATATGTATTTCCCTCCACTTCCTGATCATCCCCCTCTATCTCATCGAGTTTGTCTCCAAAATATCCATCTTTTGTAATATTTATTTTAGGCATCTCTGCGAAATGTCCATGTTTGGCAAGCAAAGCAACCTCGTGAACTCTTCTGCTACTTCCGTATCTCCAGTCTCTTTCAAGTATACTACACATGCTGTTAAAGTAACATAATTAAGTTTCCATCCACGTTGATCAGCCATGATTGCCTTCTTCATTATCTCCACTGCTTTTGCCATCTGGTTATCTTTGTAGTATCCAGTTGCCAGATGATCCCACGTGCCTGCTGTAGGCTCCTTTCCTCTCTCTATAGCCCGGCTTATGTACATTTCAGCCTTCTCCAAAAGCCCCTTCTTGCAATAAGCATTGATAAGCAAATTTGGAATATCAAAATCAAAAGACGTATTCACAGATTCCCACTCCACTAAGACCTTCTCAGCTCCATCAAGGTCATCCAACTTGACCAATGAGCTTATCATGCGAAAATAGCCCCTATTGTATATTTTCCCCATTTGCTTGTACAAATTCCATATACGATACAACTCATCTTTGTTACCAAGACCAGCATATAGAGTGAGGAGAATTTCATAAGCAAACCCTCTTCTTTTACTATGTATATGTTGCTCTGATTTCTTTAGCATTTCCAAACTTTTTTCGAAAAGTCCAGCTTTCAAGTACCCATTTGCTGCTATAACATAAGAATTCCAATCCATGGTGAATCGAGGATCGCTTTCCATATGTGTAAGAAGCTTTTCCATTCCCTTTATGTCAGACACAGCTGCATATGCATTCAATCGGATGTATACTGTGGATCTCTCACAACTGATGCCCTTCTCTTCCATCTCTTTGATGAGAGAATCAAACTTTTCTTGCTGTCCCATCTTTGAATAGAGATTCAGCATAACGTTATAAGACAGTGATTTTTTCAAAATCCCGAACTCCCTCATCTTCTGCATGATGGTCTCTGCTTTGGCCAAGGATTTCTTGTTGGCATAGCAATTCAATAGAGCGCCACAAACATGGAAGGTTCTCAAAGTGTCTGGGATGTTATTAAAATACTTCTCTGCCTGTTCTAGGCCATGAACCTTCGATACCAAATCCAACTGAACTGCAACGTCTCCAGGTGATGGGGCAAGGTTCAAACTGTGACTCATCCACTCAGACAACTGAAGTAAGAGTGAAAAAAACTACTGAAGTACCAACACAGTGTTAAAGATTGTAGAAATGAGATAATTTGAGTAAATAAATACCCCTACATAAGCACGCCGAAAGCTCAAAAAAAGTGAACTGCATAACCAATGAAGACAAACTAACATAAAAAGTAGGGAGTTGACGACAGGCAAAGTTTATAGAAGGCATAATTTAAAAACATTCAAGTTGGAACCCTGTTATTTAATGGAAATTTTGGAAAGCATGATCAGTTGTCACTGTCTGGTTTTTTTTACTGGCATGAATTTGAAGTGAATTAAGTGATGTTCTTGGAGACCCACGTAGTTTGGGAGCTATGCTTTATTCAAGCAGTCAGGATTGGGAGCTCAAGGCCAATAAAAGGGGCAGATTTTGCTCGAGATTTTTGTAGTTCTATGGAGCACAATTTTGAGCCAGGATCTCTTCAAAAAGGCATTTAGTATGGATAAATGCCTTCTAAGGTCCATAGCTGTTAGTCTAGAGGAAATATCAACTACTTGGTGTTGTATGTGAAGAAAGGCCAAGGAGACTGCTAAACACCATTTGATATGTTGTAAAGCACCTAGAGATCTTTGGGTGTATGTTGTGTTCCCAATTTAGCTGCTTTGAGTCAACTATGTATGGTTGCTGAGCTTCCTGGATATTGGTTAGGAAGATTTTTCTAGCAAAAAACTAAGCAAGCTGGAGGGAAGTACCCTTGGCCCTTGAGACTCATGTGGTGTCATCAGAAGGAGAGGAATAACACATTTTTTTAGGATGACAAGATGTAGGCCAAAGTTGAATCCTTGGATGTTGCAATCTAATTCGGGTGTCAGGGAAGTTTCATAATCATTTATGCTATTTTTCTGATTTTATAGGAAGGTTGATATTTTGGATGGAGTTTAATTTTGTTTGCTCTGGTTCAGTCGTTAAAATTCAGCCCATCAACCTTAAGGCTGTGGTTTTGAACATGAGGGAAGCCACTTTGTGCAAATAATGCAAATAATGGCAAAGGTTAGATTTGTAACCAATCTACCACTTCAAGACCCCATCATTCCACTCTTCACCGAATTGTTTTAGCCCTACGGGGTACATACCACTGCATGGATCAATGTTTCTGAATTCATTCTACTCAAAGCTACATGTTTTTTTTTTTTAGTAATTGTTGTAAGTGCATAAATAATCTTCATTTTATTAACTTTTAAACAATTTCTTCCTTTTCACTATCAAGTGCCTCGTTCTTTTAAATTTTTACATTGGTTACATTTCTCATTCCAATATCTCTCATTTCACTTACATTAACATTTTAATCCAGAATTATTGTAACAATAAGCTCAGATTCACTTCAATAGCATCCCACATATTGAGCAACAAGCAAATCATGGCTTCTTTCTATGCACATATAAAGTACTTTAGGGCTATTTATCAAAAAAAAAAGAAAGAAGAAAAAAAAAAAAACTGGTCTAGGGCTCATTTCATGGTGGCTTATTTCTGAGTTCTGATCCAATAGAAAGCTTACAGTTCAAACAAAGTACACCCATTTATTAGCTTTTCCTTAAAGGAGAGTCATTTAAACCGCAAAAACAAAAAAACATGGATGATAGTCTTAATCACAATTTTTTCATTTTTATGGGAGTTGTCAAATTCTATCATAGAAACCAAAAAACAAGATGCAACATTATAATGAACAAGGACCAGAAAAATGATTTGGATTTCCAACTTTTGAGGTACACTGACCTGGAGAGCGTGATTGAAGCGTTTGTATTTTCTGAGGAGCTTGATGATGGTTTTGAGTTCAGATTTGTCAACAGTTCTACCTCCTTCGACCCATTGATCCAGAATCGGAAACATCGAAACCCTAGGGTCACCTGCAAGTGATATTCGATTGAACAGAGTGTCCTTAGAAGTTGAAGATGTTGTTGGGGTTTGGGTAATATACAACATAGCCCTAAAACCCCTGCCAAGAACATTATGATCACCCAATAAATTTGACGAATTGCATGAACGCACAAGCTTCATCATCATCACCTCAGAGAGAGAGAGAGAGAGAGAGAGTGAGGTTTAGGGTTTAAAATTAATGGGCCTTGCACGCTTTAAGAAAAACAAGCCAGTGCTTTTTTTGTGGGACCTGGGCATGAGGCTCAATCTTTAAGCCCAAACCAGTCATGATAACGAAAAGAAAAATTAATAAATAAACACATGGTTCACTTTTCTTTCTTTTTTTTAATAAATTCAAGATCAAACATAAGATAAAAGGGCAAAAGTGGTATAAATGTTGCAAAGTCTGGTGGTAAATCGCTCTATCATCTAAGAACAAATAAATTGATGTAATGATTGAGACACTCCCTTATTAAACGTGATATTTGAGTTCAAATCTTATCATTTTAAATATAACTTTCCATCATTCTTTCTTAACCAAATATATATTCACCATCTATTTTGATCAATTTAGTAGTTGCTTGAACTGTTGATCAAATGAAGCTCATAATTGAGCCACTTGGATTTCCAAAAATACAATTGAATGATTGTTTGTTGTAATAGATTCCATTGATGCTAACATGATGACCTAGAGTCACACTAGGGATAATTTTAACCCACGTTCAATTTGGTATTGATTGAGGAAAAGTAAAACACTAAATTAAGCTTTAACCGCTACATCTTGCAAGAATGGTGACAAGAGATTTACAAAAAAAAAAATATATATATATATATTAAAGTTGCGTCTAAATTTTGGATTTATGAAGAAAAAGAAAAGGATAAAAAACGTTTAAATAGTACACATTAATGTGTGTTTGCGAAGGGAAAGATTGAAAACACACCTAATTTTTGACATAGTGCATAAACACACCCAAATGATGTTCGATTAGGAAATAAGTAATCATCAGAAGCATCTTCTCTTAGCTTACAAGTAATTTAAACTGAAGCCACTATAATGACGAAGGTACAAGCTAGAACTGAAAACACAACTTTAGAGTCCTGAATTCTTCTAATGGGACACATCCTTAGCTCTTCAGAAAGTTAAAAGGGCATTAATAAAAGAATATTCTCCAGATGAAATCAAAATCCGATTCTCCGCAGCAAAATTGAGTATGTCAGCTTACTAATCAGTGAGACTACTCTGGCATGTTCTAAGACGACACAGCAAAGTTCCCATCTTCAAGTTAATGTGAGATCACATATTCATATTCTTCAGTCGAAGAAGGTTCAGTTCACAAACTACTATTGAGTTACTTCATCAGTGGTAAAACCTTTCATTTTCATTTGATCAAGAACCCCTGATGAGATTGATCTTCCTGTTGCGACACTAGTCCTCAGCAATCTGTTGTAACTATCCTTGGTCAAAGCACCCGGGTCCTCGAGTAACATTATGATTTCCTCCATCACTTCCACATCCCCTTGTCCTTCCAAATACTCAAGGAATGCATCCAAAGTACTGGGATTTGGTCTCCATCCCGTCGTCCTTCCAACCAACAATGCCTTCTTAAGCATTTCCACCGCCTTGTCCATTTGCTTGTTTTGCATATATCCCACAGCTAATATGATCCAAGAACTTGCAAAAGGCCTTCTTCCTTCAATAGCCTTGCTTATGGCTAATTCTGCCTTGTCAAAAAGTCCTTTCCTGCAATATGCAACAAGTAGCCGATTTAGTACCCGAAAATCATAAAACGTGCATATGGTCTCCCACTCCTGAAAAATTTTCTCGGCCCCCTCAATATCATCAAGCTTTGCGAGAGATGAAATCATTACAGAATATGATGGATTATGCACTTCATTTAATGGCCTGTGTATATTCCAAACTCTGTAAACCTCGTCCTTAAGGCCAGTGCTGGAATAGAGAGAAACAAGATGCTGAAAAGCCAATTTTCTACCAACAGGCATTGTCCCCTCCATTTTCTTCAGAACTGTTAAAGCCTTTTCAATTAACCCAACTTTCAGATATCCATTAGCTGCAACTGAATACACCTCCCAATCAGCAATACAATAGGGATCCTCCTCGATATGATTCAGGATCTTCTCCATCCTAGAAATGTCAGATGCCATTGCATAAGCACTTACTTGGGTTTTCAATGTGAACATATCCAAAGGGATTTCCAGATTTTCCATTTCTTGTATCAACATGTGTATCTTGCTGTGTTCTCCAATCTTAGAGTAAAGGCTGATCATCATGTTGTAAGGAAAAGATGTTGTAGCCATACCCATTTCTCGCATTTTCTGCATTATGGCTTCAGCTTTCACCACATATTTCTCTCGAACATATACACGGAGAAGAGCACCATATGCATGGAATGATTTCAAGTTAGTTGAAATACTATTAAAGAAAATTTCTGCACGCTCTAATCCACAAACTCTGGATATTAGCTCCAACCTAACTGCAACATCAGTTGGTGATAATTTGTAATACTGCCGATCAGACATCCACCGAGACATATAATTCGGGTGTGTGAGGTCACCCAAAGCCATTTTTAAGAAAAAAAAGCTTTATTTAACATTGAAAAATGTCAAATAGAAAAATGCAAGGTTGGGATTCAACCTGGTGTGCTTTCAATGGATCACACACAACTAAATGACACACCACAATATGGGAAGGCAATTTAGCAATACTATCAAAATACCAGGGAATAATATAGTAATCTTATATTTTATTTTCTGGAGGAACACCTAAACAGCTCTCCATACAGTGATGCACAGCATGCTACATCCTGATCATGACCGATAAGGAAAGATATGATATAAGTTCAGGCTCTAATCCCTCGCTGAAAATCCACAACAACGTAATATGAGCCCACAAAAGAAAACATATACTAGAAAACTGGGTTGAGCAATAGATCATACTGATATTTTTTGTTTATGGGACTGACTTGTAGAATCAAACAATGACAGCTCTGGGTTAAGATTAAATATTTTATGGGCAAATTACACTTTCCACTAGGGTTAAGCCAAAAAACACAGTGCCCCCTGAACTTTAATTTGTGACACTGAACCCCCCTAACGTTAATACCAAAGTGAAAAAGGAGATGACTGTAATGGAAAGGTTAAAAAGACAAATATAACCCTCTTATTTCTCCTAGTTGTTCACTTTGAAACCCACTAGAGCAGGGTTTAGTGTCACAAATTAAAGTTCAAGGAGACACTGCATTTTTTGGCTTAACCTCATAGGAGTAGAGTAAAATTTACCCATATTTTATTTAATAAAGCACCAATGATGTCATTTTAAAATAATTTATTTAATAAGAACATTTTCTTTGTAATTGTTTCAGCCATTCTTTGATAATTCCCAGAACCAAAATCATTTCTTCGTAGCTCATTAACCACTATGCACAATTCAGTTCTTCCAAATATATCATAAAGACTCGTTTAAGCCCTATTTGGTTCCTGAAAATTTTGAAGGGAAAGCAAATCTCGTCTTCCTTGCATTTTCTTCCCATGCTTAATATGAAAATAAAACTAAAAATATTCTCAAAAAGATCAAAAATCAATAAGTATGGGAAAAACATCTACAATAAAAAGAAAATTTGCTCTCTTGCTTTAGCTCATTTTTCATTCCTTCTCAAGGCAACCAAACAATGTAGACTGAATTCCTATTTGTCTTCATTCAGTTACTTTCTGAAATGTTAAAGCTTTTTGATTCTTTGGGACATGAGAAGATAAAGTTTTCTCCGTCACTTGAGACTGTGTTTGGATCATAGATTTAGGTAGGAATTTGAAAAGAGAAGCGGAAAGGAAAAAGTGGGTGAAATATTTCCTTTTCGAATCCCTAGCCAAATATCCAAAGACAGCCTGAATGTATACTGATTTTAGTTTTTATTTCTTATTTGCAGTACCAAATTCAAATCCTGAACTAATTTCAAATTCAAACAGAAGGAAATTAAACACAAGCTCAACTAAATTTTCTTTTAATTTTTCCAGTCTCTTTTCTAAGCAAACAAGCAAAAGCTTAATGTTTGTCTATAAACATTGTATTTGTAATTAGTTATTAGACATCAGAACTATAAATGTAAATCACCATTGTCCTCTTTATTTATATGTCTATACAGAGAGATATATATATATATATATATATATAAGATGCAAATGTGGGAGAGAGAGAGAGAGAGAGAGAGAGGGAGGAACCTCTAAAGCGTGTTTGAATCTGTTGAAATTCTTCATGAGGTGAAGGAGTGATTGGAGCTCTTGTTTGGTAACGGGTCTACCTTCTTCAGCCCATGCATTGAGCACTGGAACGATGGAGATTTTGGGGTCTCGGAAGGGTACAAGTCGATTATACAGTGAATCGACTGAAGAAGAAGAAGAAGAAGAAGAAGAAGAAGATGATGATGATGATGATGATGATGATGATGATGATGATGATGAGGTTAGGGTTTCGGTGGAGAAGAGTGAAATTAAAAACCTAGAGGAGCTTCGACGATGACCCAAATAGCGAACCAAACTGATCAAAGACAAACACTTCATCCCCTCTCTCTCAAATACAGAACTGTGTTAACTGAGACTGTGAAACAGGGGTTTTTGGAGCGACCCCGGTCTATAACCATTTTTTAGTGGGCTAGGCTAGGAATACTAAATTTTTTTATTAAATAAATGACTAAATATTTGATATAGATGTGAGGTCGTATTGGCAAAAAATTTCAGCTCCGGTACAGAACTCGAAAATCGGGGCTCGAATTTGAGAAGGAAGAAGGAGGAAGAAGAAGAAGAAGAGAAGGAGGAAGAGGAAGAAGAAGGAGAAGCAGAACTGCAGGGGCCATAAAAATGGGGTCGGAGGCGGAGGCGGGACTGCGATTCGACGAGCGAGGATCTGCGATGATCGGCCGATGAGCTGCGATGACGATGACGACTCTCTCTCTCGCCTCTCGCCTCTGTTTCTCTCTCGCCTATGTTCCAACGAAGAAGAAGAAGAAAATGAAAAAAAAGGAAAAAAAAAAATCGAATCTCGTTTTGCGTTTCGAGCCAAATTCGAGCCTTGATTTCGGGCCCTCAAATATTTTTCAAAAAATTTAAAACTTAAAATATTTTTTTTAATACCAAAATTGAAAAAAATGCGTAATATATAGTTTAGGCACTATTTAGCATAATTATTTAAATAAATGTATTTATTTAGATTATATTATTTTTTTATTTTTTATACATCTTTTTATAAAAAATTAAAAAATATACTTATTTAAATCATCTTAAACAATTCTTAGTTAATTTAAAATGTTTTTTTTTTCTTCTTAAATTCAAATTATTACAAAATTTATTTGAGTACTCAAGCCAAAAGTCTAAAATTAGATTTATTTATTTATTTATTTATATGCCAAATGACTAAACTATCTTTATATCTATATAATAAGACATAATAGTTTTTGAAAATGTATGAGAGACACATTTCATTTGAATGGCTCTGATGAATGGGTGGTTCTCGCCCAACACTTTCTCCCTAAGATACAAATGATTTGCTTGTGTCTCCCTCAGTATCTACCCTCTGTCTCCCCATACCTTCTGTCTACTATCTGTCTTCCCATACCCTTTATCTACCTTCCCTCTCTATCTCCCTCTCTGTCTCCCCATTGCTGAATTCCTTGCTCTGTTTCAATCTTCTGGGTGTGTTTTTGGGTTTACCCACATTGGAAAACTCCTACAGATTTATTATTGGTGAGATGTATGTTGTGTGTGCAAATTATCTTATTGTGTTGAGTTATTAACAATTGGGTTATTATGGTGTCATTCTGGGTGTGTGCAGTTTTGGATTACACGGGTGATATACATTTTATTATGGTGTCTTCTGGGTGTGTGCAGATTTGAATTAGTAACCCGTGCAACAGATTTGAATGGGTGTGCTAGATTTGAATGATATATATATATATATATATATATTGAGTTATTATGGAAAAGATACACCGTGCAATAGATCTATAGTTGTTGAATTCTGCACAGAAATTTTGGAAAAGTATTATTATTATTAACTGCTGGGTTCAATAAAGTTATTGAATTCTATAGTTATTGAATGATATAGATATATGGAAAAGTATTTTTAACTGCTCGGTTCAACAGAGTTATTGAAAACATGACTTTAACCAATTCAGTATTATTATTTAGTGTTGAAAACATGACTTTAATTGCTGGGTTCAAGAGAATTGATTTGGGTAATTGACTATTATTTAGTATTCTCTTGAATTTTTGAATTTAGTGTTGAAAACATGACTTCAATATGTTCTTCTTCTTGAATTTTTTTTTTCCTTTATCAACTTTTGCCTTCATCAGAGCTTCTGCGGATCACTCTAACCACTCTCACCGTTGTTCACTCTGGCTACGACATCACTTTGGCTACTCAGCTATTCATTACAGTAATTTTTTTGTTCACTCCGGCTATTTAGCTGCTCGATATCCTGCTTGGCTGCTCGGTTAGTTTATTACTTTGGTTCTTATTTTTTTTCTTTTGTTATTGTTTTGGTAATGTTTGGTAGGCATGACTATTGAGTAAAACTGAAGAAGAAGAACAAGTTGACTACATTAAAGAGTAGTTGCAAAGGATATGTTTTTTATCACCAAAATCACTTGACTCTGTTTTTTATCACCAAAATCAGTTGGCTCTGTTTTTTATCACCAAAATCAGTTATTGCTTTGCTATGTTTTTTACCAATTTTTGTCCCTTCTCCTTTTCTCTCAGTGTGTTGGGTCAGTATTTTCCAGTTATTAACCAAAATCAGTTATTAACTTATGGTTGTTTTTTTCAGTGTGCTGGCTGGTTATTTACTTCCAATATTCAACCATTAATTTGGTTTTTTCAGAGTCATAGCAACTCCCTTACTTCCAATGTACCGTCAACACCAAATAATATCATGTTAATAATTTTAAAGTTATTTACAGAACCAAACAAGCATCAGACATGCAGAAGTATAACATGGGCCAGTGGGTGTGAAGTCCATGTCCATGCAGTGTTGTTAGTGAGTTGCTATGACTCTGCTCAATTTGGAATAGTAAGAAAAAGAAAATTGTTTTCTCCATTTTAGCTCCAAAAACTCACGGAAATAGTTCTTTGGCTCTATAATTGATTATTCTTTTTAGGGGTCCAAATGATGATATGGACAAAAAATTTAATTATTTTTTTTTAATTTGAGAGCTAAATTCGTAATTAATTTCAAACTCCAAATCTAACATCTTAAGTAATAGATTCTAATAAATTTGTAAGCCTTTTAAGTGTACACATATAAACATATAGAAATTCTTATTTATTAGGTTAATAACATCTAAATTCATGCTCACATGCATATAGCATCTAAACTGTAATGTCACGCCAAATTTATCAATAGAATCTAAACTGAACATATCAATAGATTAAACATAAAGAAAGCTGCAAAACACCAAATTTATGAATTCATTCATATAAGAAATTGGAAATTTGTAACTAATACTACTCACAAAATGTAATTGATGCTCCAGAATAATACTCACAAAATCTAAACTAATAATACTCACAAAATTTATGAATATGGATGCTCCGGATCTCTTATATCCCTCACAAAATGTAATCGATTCAAGTCAAAGATCACAACAGTTCAAATTCCAATAACAATCCTCACCTATTAATTGAATTGACCTCAATTCACCTAAGTATAGCATGGCCCTGTTTTAAGTTTCATAGGAGTTTCAGAGGTGTGTTGAACTTTATTTCCTCCGTGCCTTTAGGAGGAAAGGAGGATTGGTAGGTGATGGTTGATAGATATATACACACTGAGAGAGAGTAGCTGTTTGAGTGATGGTTGATAGATATATATACACTCAGAGAGAGTAGCTGCTTTGTGCTCATGGAGAGATAAAAATTGGTAAAACATAATTATTTGGCTATTATACACAGGAAAAACATATTTGGCTATTAGATATATTTGTATAGTAGCTGTTTGAGTGAGGTTATACACATTTGTATATTTGGCTATTAGAAGGAAAAACATAATAGCTAAAACTGGTTTGGGGTTCATTGGTTTGGTGTTAAAAAAAAAAAAAAAGTTTATACACATTATGTTTACTATCAACTCTCATGGTTGATAAGGTTGGTCTCAAAATTATTTGGCTATTATACACAGGAAAAACATAGTAGCTCCAAAATTTTCACTAAATCAAGAATGAACAAAAAATTTCACCAAATCTCCAATAATAATACTTTTAATCTTTTTTGATAAAATTTTAAAATAGAGTATGGATAGGAGATGGTTTTTAGGATAAGTTTGAAATTTTTTTTGAAAAGATTTGAAGATGCGAAGAGAGTACGGATTGGAGTATTCCATATTAGAGCAAGCTTTTAATCATATTTTCACTCAAATTTGATGAACAGAGAGAGAGAGAGAGAAAGAGAGTAAGTTTAACTAATCATATCCATCATGGTTTGGTTGTCCTGACTCCTTATTGTTGTTGTTAGAACTTAAAGCTTGGATTAGGATTGGTTGTCCTGACTCCAATGGGTAAATTGAAGTGAAAATTTTGTTTAAATTTGGTCAATTTTGCTGCATTATTAGAAAGAAGTCAATTAGTCTCTCTCATACCCTAACCCAAGGACCTTTACAATTATTTATTTTTTTGTTCTTCTTGGAGGCTTGAGTGCTAGGTATAGTAGTAGTGGGTAGTTTTGTAGATTAACTTGATATTGAAAATCATGTGTGCACTGCTACTTGCATTGTGCCTTTAGTGAGGCATAGTCGGGTTGCTTCATCGTAGTTATGTGATGATATCTTTTGATGTAATGTGGGCTTCTATTCTCCTTTTTATTTATTTATTCTTTTCAAAATAAAAACCTAGGCTTAGGCACCCATAGGATTGTTTGAGAAAAAGACATTATTCATTTCTATTCAACTTACTAAACGATCAAGCGCATCACTAATTACTAGAATGCTCAGTTGAAGAACTCTACATGCTCAATTTTGTTTTTCAAAAATAGATGCAGTCAACCATGATTTAGTCACCCTTTTAATGAAAGAACATTTCATTTAGTAGGTCACACATGATTGCAAGATATAGAGAGAGACATCACTACGATATACCTTTATACAAAATATCATGCTGACTTGTTTGAGAGATATGATTTTTTAGAAATTCTTTTTAGTTTAAAAATTACAATAAAATATTAAATAGAATAAAAATAAATTTCTTAAAAAATAAAAGTATTTGAATAAAAAAAGGTAAGAAGAAAATTTAATATGGTATTTTTATTTAATCTGAATATAATTCTAGATGAACAATAAATTATTATCTATAACCCTCTTTTTTTAAATAAAAAAAGTTTAACGAACTATCACTTTTTAATAAGAAAAAATTAACGTTTCTTTTTAATTTATTTAGCAAAAGTAACTTTGAGCCAAAGATATTTTTATTCTTTATTTTAATTTTTTTTAATTGACAATTGAGATAAAAAAAAATTAAATAAAAAATCTAACAAAATCCAACATGTTTAGTAAGTACTAAAAAAAGTTATGTTTTGTTCTTTTGTTAAAAAAAAATTATATTAAAAAATATTATTGTTCAAGTCCTTATATTAAAACAAATTATATTTAGACCAATAATATTATG